AGAAGAGGCATCAGATAAAAAGGATGTCATCGTGACATTTATACCTTCAAAGAAGAGACAATCTGATATAAAAAATGTCATCGTGACATTATACCTTATTTAAGAATGGAGATAAATTGGATGTCATCTGAATTATACCTCATAAAAGAACAATCAGATAAAAAAGGATGTCATCGTGACATTATACCTTTAGAAGAGACAATCAGATAAAAAAAATGTCATCGTGACATTATATTTAAAAGATTAAGTGAACTTCATCATAAGATACCTTGAAATATCCATTGTTATTTATGAATGGAAGGATTGATATCATTAATCATCTACAAAGTGAGAACAAGACTGTCTATGCAATTGCTTTCTATGCCTAACATTTCATTATGCATCCGAATACATTCGATCATCTACAAAGAAGTCAGCAAAGGTTCCACCAGTATGCAGTTGACATATATGACAAAATTGAAATCAAAGAGATTAGGATACTTTAGGCCACACAAGCTTCTTCACCACGGCCAGTAAAAAATATTTTTTTACATGTGTTTCAGCCCCTTAATTAATTTTAGGAAAACTTGAGAAATTCATCGGGATAATTTTTAGTGAATATATTAGTTAGAAGCAGAATTCTTTGAAGAATTTAAGTTACCGGAATTTTTTGCAGAATCGGATTCCGTCTTACCGAAAATCTGTTCTGAATTGAAAAATAAAACTAAGACATTATTTAATTAGAGAAGCTTGTAATTGCTTTTATGAACAATATATATCAAAGAGAATATTGTCTGAAGAAAAACATTTCATGAAAAATGAATTTTTGCAAGATATTTTTTGTTTTTTAACAATTTCAAATTGTATGATTTATAAAATTTTAAAATCTTAAAATTAATTTTCAATATGATAATTCTTAGGAAATATAGTTATTAATAAAACTATATTTATTAATAATATGTTGTAAAACTTATTACAATCTGACGACCCCGAATATTTTTCAAAGAATTTTTATTTGTTTTTCTATGTGTGATTACGTACAGAATTTCTGAAGTAGGGATGTGCAAACCGATTAATCTATCATTAAAAGGTCACGTGTTTTAAGGATTGTTCCTGCTTACGGCGAAAAAAAAAAACCCTCAAACTTTGTCGTCTGCTCCACCATAATATGAACACGTTCGGCTCCCAAACCGCTGTCAATAAATCGATTAGCACATCAGAAAAACAAGACCCCGGAGTTAAGAAATTGTTGACACCTAGGAATGGTTACTGAATGAAAAATAAACAAAACAGAGGTTGGAAATGAAATGAAATGGTAATCTTGATAAAATCAACAAAATACGATACTTGCCAGCGGCGTGAAGTAGGTAAACCACTGCTAGTGGTGCACTACTTAGACGGCATATTACACTTCCCCCAACTTACAATAGTGTACAACATATTTATGAGGATTGGGACATACCCATTCATAGGTACGGTATATAATATTTATAAGTAATATTTGTTTTAGATCAGATTAATTTAACTTTAAAAATTTGCTAATTTTCCTCAAATAACATTTCAGAAATATATATTTTATTTTTGCAAGATTTTTAAAAACGAGAATTAATTTTTGTTTACAAATGTGTCAAAAAAAAAACGTTTTTATCGATTTTACTAAAAAAAATCGATTCCGGTCAATATAATTTCTGTTTGAAATACACCACAGAGTATTTTACTTACTGGAAATAATAAATTCTAAATCATTTAGCTTTCAATTAAAGCTAAAATTAAAGCTTCAGGAAAGATTTTCCATTAAAAAAAATGATTTTAAACCTTACCTATACCGAATTAATGAAGGTACATATATTAGAGTCTCTAATAAACGCCGAATTTGTTAAGCATCTTACTTCACACGATCTCCTTTCGAATAAACAGTATGGTCTCCGTTTTTCCAGGTCTGCCACCGACGTGTTAACGGCCATTTCTGAATTTGTCTATCGCGCTTTAGATTAAAACGTCGAAGCTTGGTCTGTGGCCCTAGATATGTGAAACGTATTCGACAGGGTTTGGCATATGGTCTTCTTTACAAGTTCAAGTATTACGGTGTCTCTGAACGAATATTTGGCCTAATCCAATCGTTCCTAACAAATGGACACGCTTTATGTTCATTTCCTATTAATGCAGAGTCCCCGCCCCTATGTGTCATCCTCGGACTTACGCTGTTTCTGATCTTCATCAACGATTTTCCCGATGCCATTAGTTCCTAACTATGTATCTATGCAGATGACGCAACTTTTTTACTCCCGTCTTAGTAGCAAGTCCGAGAGACTCAACAAAATAAAACTGGCAACTGTTCTTGAAAAGGACCTCCAATCAGTGGTTAAATGAGACGAGAAATGGCTTCTAAATTTTAATGCCTCCAAAACAAAACTGCTTTCATTTAATCAACACCGAGAATCTCTTCTACCTACCAACAGTATGCTAAACTTTGCGTCTTCTTGGGCTCTCGTTTCCACATGAAGTGGAGTAATTATATTGAATCAATTGCTAGTTCTACTGCGAGGAAAGTTGGTTTACTGTGTCGTGGTAGCCAATTATTCTGGTTAGGATCTACCTTGCACACTTATAAATCTGCCATTCGCCCGTACATTGAATACTGTTGCTTTTGAATATTAAATATTTGATTTTTTTTTTCTGGCTCACGCAAGGATTTGACGTTATTTTTATTCCTGAATCAACAAACGTGGAGTGTTGGCACATGGCGATTTTAGCACTGACCCCTCCCTCGATCTTGGGATTTAAATTCGAACAGTCTAGATTACGCAAAACAAAAACAAACAAAAAATAACGTCACTCCTTGTTTAATTTCGTCTACAAAGCCATGTGAAAATGTATATCGTTGCCTGTCTTGTATGTATCTCTTTGAATTTCATTCTTTAATCGTTTTATTTATATATTTCCTTTTTTCACTCGATATTAATTTTTAATTTTTTTTTCAATTGAACTGAATTTATTCTACTCTAACGTAATAAACTGTTGCAGTTCTGTCCTGTCTCCCCGGTGGTTTTAGCCGAAAAAGAAATCCACCCGATCTTCCTCCGGTGAACTGAAGAAACCACCACTATTCGCCACGTTGTGAATTCTTGATCCGAACAGCAGTGTATCGATCTCCCCAGAACGATCCGGTGGGAAGGGGAGGAAATGGTTGGGTATTTTGCTGAAAAGAAATCACTATTCATGCAGCAAAATTTTCTTGTCGTAGCCGCAAACACATGAAAAAGAAAAAAAATAAGCAACTCCTGTTCCTGTACAAAGGGCCCTATTTAGGCCACTGTTTTTTTATGTCTCTACCGAAGAATTTACACGAGTACAAAATGTCGTAACGACATTCACTCGTTTGGGTCGGAAAGTCACAGAGAGAGAGTAGGAAAATTTCTGCCTAAACAATTTCGGCTGATCTAAGGGAAGTAATTCGTGGATCTTCGTCTGCATCCTACGATATAGCAGTCTGCTTTCTCGCAGCGTTGTTGACGAAGTTATCTGGATTCGTACGGGTTCTATTTCGATCTCTTGGTTCGGGTCGGTCTTCTTGACACAGGGCAACCAGCAGACCAGGCCAGCAAATTCCAACAAGCCGCCTCTTCCGCGTTCTGTTCTCCGAACTCCGAACTCCGAACTCATCTGACTAACTCAAGCGTGCGGGCAGCTTATATAGAGAGAGGCGGAACTAAACCATCTTTAGGCACCGCCCCCGAATTTTAATATGCAAATCGCCTGGACCACCATGTGTTTCCGCCTAATCTCCGGATCTCCGCGGGCAAACCAGTTTTCAAGAGGTACTAAAATCTGATTCGGACATCCTGCTGGATCTTCCGCAGACAACGTACACTTAAATTTTGCCAAAACCACTTAGCCCGTCTGGTTGAATTTCGCTATTCAGACCACCCAAAAATCCAATTTGCCATTTATCACAAACTTTACTTTAACGAATCTGTTTCTTAATCACTTTGGAATTATTACATGTAATTAACTAATAACTCAACCCCAGAAACAATTATAAGAGAAAAAAAAAACAAGAGAGAAAAAAATAAACTTATTTCTGGAATTACTCCGGAATCGCTTCTACCCAAGTAATTAGCGCCTTCATCCTAATTCTTTAGCACTGTTGATTGCTAAATCCACCTCCTTCTCTCTCCCTATGTCACACTACTCCATTTTGGAAAATTTTGTTTGAATATTAAATCTTTGATTTTTTTTCTGGTTCATGCAAGTATTGGACGTTATTTTTATTCCTGGCTCACAGACATAGAATGTCGTCTTCCTGTTGCTTCTGCTTTATACCTCAAGATTCTTGACAAAATTCAAGGAAGGGTTTGCAATGCCTACAAATATTTTCATGAGAATGATGAGCGATTCTCCTTAGTGTTTCATCTGCATGAATTTAAGCGTACTATTAGATTGTCATCTCGGTTACAGAGTTCTGCTATTGAATTAACTATATGTAACCGTCAGTTCTATTCTAATAGATTCTTTCCTCGCACTACTACTTCCTGTCAAACTCTCTTCCAAATTCTTGCTTTCCTGACACCTACAATCTTCCAAAATTTAAATGCAATTTAAATCGCCATCTTATGTCTTCCTTAACCATGCTCTTTTATTCTACTTTTCCTCACGTCAATCTTCCAACATTTTTCACTCCTTGCATCTCCCTGGGTTGAATGGTCTCCAGTCTCTTTATATTTTATTGGTAAAAGGAAAGACAAGCAACCTTTCAGATTACAGGTGAATTTATTGAAAGAAACCATTTTGTGGAAATCTTTTTGTCAGAAGACAAGCAATTAGCTTGGAGCTCACATGATAATAGACCCTTCGTAAAGAGCCTTTCCGCGGGAAGAGCCTTTCCACGTGTCTAGAATATGTGTAAGGAAAGAGATTTAAAAAGGAAAGATAATGATAGTGTTCAATGAAAATTTATCAGTTTTGCTGATAAGATATAAAGGCTACAATTGTTTACAACAAAGATTATTGGGGATGATTTAATGTTTTCTTCTGCATTCCTTGTTTGTTTCTTTTTCATTTTCTTCCTTTGCACATATTTTTCTTTTCTCTTCATTCATTCTTTCTCGTCTGTTTTCCAGTTTCTTTCTTTCACAATTTCTGTTTCTTTTTGTTATTCATTTTTACACATATATATTTCTTTTTTTTCTTTAAATGTTGAGTCTTTCGCGTCGATTTCTCACCACTTTCTATCTACGTAATCCTGTTTTGGATGTTTTTCTTTCTTTTTATTATTTCTTTTATGTTATGCTGCATTTTATTCTCTTTCTTTCTTTACTGTGTTTTCTTCTCTTTCTTCTTTGTAAAAATTGCTGCCTTTCTTTATCTTCTCCAGATTTGCTTTCATTTCTTCTTTTCTTTCTTAAATCACTCTTTCTTTCTTTAATATCATTTCTCTTTCAACTTTCTTTTCTATTTTGTCTTTTTTACTTTTGACCATTTCTACTCCTTTTTAATTTCTCTGCAGTCCTTCTCATTTCTTTCTTTCTTTTTTCCTTCCCTTTTTGTTTTTTGTTTTCTTCGCTTTCTTCTTATTCCATTTTAACTTCTCCGCCTTTCTCTTCTTTCTTTCTTTCTTTCATTTTTGTTTTCTTTTTTTTTTGTTTTCTTCGCTTTCTTCTTTCTTACTCCATTTTAACTTCTCGACTTTCTTTCTTTCTTTCTTTTCTTTCTTTCTTTCTTTCTTTCTTTCTTTCTTTGATTATTTTTCGTTACTCCTTTTCCTCTTCTTCCTGGCCATTACCCCATTTTTTCTATCTAGATAATCCCGTTTTCACACCCATCCCACCCTTACTGAGAGACAAAAAATGAGTATAGAAAAGAAAGAAAAAAAATACCCCCAATTTAGAAGCCTGATTTTGAACTTGTCGCCACTTTGACTTGAAATATCACTTTCGCTCTACTACCACTACTACTACTACTAATACCCCTCGTTCCTGACCCTCGCACCGTCCCAGTAGGTCGGTGGGTGAGTATTTAGCATCCAGTCATAAAGTATAGTCATATCGTTCTCCAATATCCATAAAAAGGTTCCGCTTTTAGACCAATCGACCAGGACAAGTTAAATGAAGAATTCTTTATCAAATAATTTTGAAACTTTTTCACTTGTTGTACTATCATATTGTGGGAAATTAGTCCCAGCTTTCCCATATGAAAGGGTGAAGGTTAAAGGTGACAGAATCGATAAAAGCAACAGCGGTCAATTCTCTCTTTTAGACAGAAGAATAAAAACTCAAACTCCTGTTCGGGATGTAACAATAAAAGAAGAAAAAGTGTATTTACATACATAAAATGGTAAAGGGATATATACAAAATATGAGAGAAATAAAGGTAGAAGAAAATTCCTTTAGCTTAAAGGAAGAAAAAGTGTTCATAGAAAGGCTTGTTCAAAATATTTCTCTGAGTGCCTAAAAGTTCTTTAAGCAAATAAATTGTTCTTAAGGGCTTAGCATTCACATAAGATTTCTTCAGAGCTCTTGTTAATGGCGAAACAATCGGAATCTCTGTGGTTTGTAGTTGAGTGAATTCGTAGGCCGACGACAGGAATTTCACGGTTCAAGGAAGCAGATCATGAGTAGTTTTAGTAGAGTGCCGCCGTTCTGTCTTTAGAGCCCAACATTTAGATTCCTTCCTTTGAAACAGGTTCCAAAGGTGACTGGTACTATTGTCACCGAACTGATGTTATCACAGAGAATGTCCAAAACTCACTGCCAAAGAGACGCGCATTCTTCGTATTTACCAAGATTAGAAGGCTCAGAAATCTCGGAAACTTTTCCCTCCAAAATTGCTCTATATTTTCCCGGCCCTCTCATTCGCTAGAAAATATATTCTTATCTCTGATAAGAATCAAAGGTTTGTCAGCTGATTGATATATACATATCTATCTATGTAGGTTTGTTTTTCTTGTTACCATATTTTC